CCTTCCTTTCTTTCACTTTAATTGTGCACTTACATTTGATTATTTAGGATAAAAATGTAAGATTTAAAGTTGAAATTGAAATGATTTACATATTAATTCTGTTCATTTAACTTCATATTGCATACAATATTGCTTTCTTTTTTTGTTTTTTTTTTTTTTACTCCTTTAAAATTTAATGATAAAATGTCAAATGTAATATTTAGCATAAAATGATATTAGCAACTTAATTAATTAGCAGCTTGTGATAATAGATTTTCATGCCTTCATAGGTGTTTATTGCTGATAATTTCCTTCATTTAATAAAAGTTAAAATTAGGAAAAGAAAAGATAAAAAGATAAAATACAATTGTGCTTTGCTGCTACAACAATTAGTATTGAAAATGATTTTTGCTTCTTACTATAAATTAATTGCAGTAATATAATAAGTTAAGAGACAACAATATTACGATGTGTTTATTAGAATATGTAACTTATACAAGTGATCAAACTACTCCATGGATTTATTATTATACTAGTTTTTATTTTTAAAAAAACTATCATTCTTACGTTACGTGAAATCACACGTTTTTGCTACACATTAAACGTATGATAAAATGATTGCTTATTTTATCATCACCAATAATATTTACATCATTATTTTAAAAATCTCATTTCTTAATATAGAATTCTGATGACATATATTTTAAATGTTCGGAAGGATCACTGATGAACGGTATGAGTTTTGAGGTATATTGTTATATAGGCCCTCCTATCATTGCAGTTAAAAATGAATGAAGGTCAGAGAGCTGAAGAGGAGGACATTTTGATAGTGGCGAGGACGACCTTCAGAAACATCTTCTTGTTGGTCTTTTCATCAGCATTATTTATTTTTTTTATTTTTATTTTTAATTTTTTATTGGTAACTGTTGTTGCCCGTATCTCAAGGACTTCCCCCGACTTACATTGCCATCATTCATCCGGCAAACTTCTATTATTTTATTGTTTTTTTTTTTCCGCTTCTTCAAATCATTTCGGTTTATCATTCATTTCTAATTGCAACGTAGATATCTTTTATTAACATATCTCAAGTTTTATCAGTTATCTGTACACATTTACAAATATGATACCATATGCTCATTTAATTAACATTAGTAGTATCGGAAGCTCATAACAATAACAATTTTGAAAATCTCTTATCATTGTAATTGATAATTTTTTAATTCCAAAATTTTAAATATTAGGATTAATAAAAATATTTGAACAATGTCTCCTCTGTTATGTGTCCTCTGTTTATAATATAATTGCAAGTATAAGGACATAGTCCCATAAAATAAGGTTCAATGTGTGATCTATTTAACACCTGTTTAACACCTAATTTTCAACATAAATATCTTTCTTTCTTTCTTTCTCTCTATCTTCCACAATTTCTTCCATAATCCTTTATTCGTTACCAAAGTTATTCTAATTTTATTGTAATTGTAATAAATTAAAAATGAACAAATATATTAGTGGGAAGAAGAAGAATAAAGAGCCATTTATTTCCATTTGTAATAAGCATTTAATCAATAAGCAAAAGGAAGAAATGAACGAATAAATTAATGAATTTAACAAATAGCATCAACTCATTGCGATTATCCATTATGCCTAATGCTATTACTTATTGGAATTGTACTAATTACTAATTATTAATGTAAGTTTTTGAAATTACAGCATGAAATGGTTGAAAAAGTTATAATACCAGAAAAGAAAATAACAACAACCATATCAAGTAATGTAAGAAATAGTATATTTGGACATATATCACCATTTATTGGCCGAAATAATAATAGCAATCGTTGTCCATCACCTAAAAACAATCCAACAATGATAAATCGATCGTCAAGGTTTGAATTTGAATTAATTATATGCATTCATCAAATTTTTATTGATTTATTTTTTCTCTCAATTCTAAATTTTTAGACAAAATTTCAATCATTCATTTTAGCATCAAAAAGTTAATCGATCAAGATCATTTCCATTATGAGAAGGTTGAATTAGGACCAATTGATATTGCATTAATCACTTATGAACCAAATGCTTCATCACCTAGCGAACAACTTGTACTACAAATCGAAAGTGCTGGCCAAAAATGGTTTCAAATCTTCTTTTTTTTTCTAAAAAAAAATTTTTTTAGAATTTCTTTATTATATTTACTATAAGTTATGAAATGTATAACAAATCATTTTCTTTTCTCAAAATAATGCAAACATTCTTCATAGGTATAAATTATTTAATTAAAATTATTTTATTTTCTAGTTTTTTTTCTTCAATGATTCATTGTTAGAAAATATTTGATATTTTCGGGCTATAATTGCTGTAATCCTTATCCTCTAATCCTATCATTCCTTTGGTTTTTTTTTTGGGATCAAAATAATCAGCTTGGCTATCTTTAATCCTCTTTTGCTCTTCCGCTGTTTCTTCTTAACTAGTTTCAAAATCCTTTTTTTGTTATAAATCTCAACTTTGTTGTAAGTAATAAAATTGAATTACTTATGATTTCTAATTTTGCAACGGAAATTTAATGTACAACATTTCAGGTGTATTAATCGAAGCATTGATCAATTATGTGAGTTCGATCAGCAATTACATCGTTGTGTATTCGATCGTTCACAAAGTCATTTAAAGGAATTAGCACTGGAGCTGAAACAAAGTGATCCAGAAAATGCCCAAGGGCATATTCTTATCTATCTGCAACAATTGTCACAGATTACTGGCAATTTGATGCGTTGCTATTCCGTTTTGAAATTTTTAGAGGTTTATTTAATTGCCTTTTTTTCTAAGTTTACAATTAAGAAATACCTTAAAAAATTAGTTGACAATATATCCAAGTGACGAAAAAAAATACTGTTTACATGGGTCACTTCTTTCCTAAATTTTTTTTTCGGTTCTTTTACTGATATGTCGTATTTTAACACTCTTATTTTTGACTTAAAAAAAGTATTTGGTTTAAATTCCAATAATTTTGATTGAGTCAACACATTTGAAATTTTCAGTTAAATGAATAGTTGATTAGTACTTTTTCCAAATTCTCCGATAAATGAAAAATTCCCTGTGTATTTTTTATTTTTGATTTCAGATTGATAGTCATGGAAATCGCTTTCTAGCAGCTGAAGAAACTTTAATAAATACACCAGCTATAGCTAGTGCAATTGTCACCAAAGATTTTAAAGCCGAAACATGTGATCAAATTTCATTACGGGTATGTTTTAATTCATTATCGACTAAAATAGTCTAATAATGTGCGGGTGAAAATGCAGAAATTTGATACGGTACACTGATCCGAGTAATGTTCGATTTCATCAATTGATCTAAATCTATTGCTATTATCGCTTGATATTTCAGGAATAATGTAAAATCCTTTCTGAACTTTTACTATTACAAATCAAAATAAATAACCATTCTTGAAAAAAAAAAGAAAAAACAATTAAATTGAAAGCTAAAAAAAATAACCAAAGAATTGTCACCAATTTTATTGTCAAATTATGACTTTTAATCGATTAATCTAGTGCAATCTATTCTGAGATCAATCACCTACTTGGTGGTTTTGTGAAAATTCTTGTAATCATTAAAAAAAAGCGGAAATTAAATTTACAACATTTTCTCTCGGTAATTTTAGTATGTAGAGTTGAACTATTTTGGATTTTAACTTTTTCAAATGTTACATCGACCCTTGCTGTATGCTAAAATGCTACAATTTACAAATTTAAAAGTAATTGAAATGGAATAAGATTTGAATTTTCTCACAGGACAAGAATAAAAATATGAATTGAGGAAAGATATTAATGATGTTATAAATTAATTCACCTAGAAGTTGTAAAATTTCAAGTTTACATAAATCATCTAGAAAGATTTCATATAATAGATAATTATATAATGGATAGATATGGAGAGATCAATTCAGTTCGTTGTGAAAGCGTGAATAAATAATCATGAAATACAGTTCTCTATATCATTTCAAGGTTATAATTGAATGGAGGATGATGGTTACCTTTAAATTCAATAGATGAATGAATGAGTGTATTTGGTCCTTCATCTGTCTTCTTCCTTCATTTCATTTCATTTCCTTCTTCCATCCTCTTCATTTCATTTCATTTCCTTCGTACATCCCTCTATCTGTATCTTTGTCCGCTAATAATTTACACCCTCTCATATTTCCCGCAATTGATGCGCAATTTATTTCTTCATCTGATTTGATATTCTTCCTTTATTTCCATTAATAAGCTGTTTTTTTCCTCCTTTTTCTTTCAATCACTAAAATTTAAAATTTTTTCGCAATAAAAAAACAATCATTTGAATTAATTATGTCTCAAAAAATTTTCACAATTCGATAGCATATATTAAAATTGTATTATATTGAATGAATTTCCTTTTTTTTTCATTTTTTTGTTTTTTGTTTCTTTTTTTTTGGTTGTTTTTTGTTTAAAAATTTTTCGTTTTTTTTTTTTGTACAAAATTGCGTAAATTTAGTGTCACTCTAAAATTTGTAAAATTTAATATGCACCAAATAGTTGTAATAATGAATTAAATTTTCATAGAAATGAATTAAATTCAAAAGTCAAAACACATGATACCTCATAATTGATATGTCAAATTTTTTGAATTCCTGTTTTAATGCTAAAGCATATCTTGTTTTTTGATAACATTAAATTGATAATCATGTTTTAAAACGGAACTGTACACGGTCATTTCATTTCAATGTTAGTATTTAAAAAACTTCTTCCCTTTTTTCTCTCCTCTCCCTCTTTAACTTCCTTTTGTCCTCATCAATATTTTATGTTTACAGTAATTATAAAAAAAAGTCTTTATTTTAGGAATTTTCAATTTTTATGCAAAATTAGGAAAAAAAACTTTTTTCACTACAAATGTATTTATTTCTGTAATATTAGTTTCATTTTGTTTTATTTTATACTTTTATTCTTTATCAAAGTTTATTGGAAGATTTTTGCTATAAGTAATCTCTTGTGCTAAATTTTGTCAAACATTATTCCATCGAATTAATTAATGATATCCTGAATAAGTGATTAGATCGAATCTATCAAACCGAATTATTATCTAAAAATGATAATGTTTATTTTTATCAATTAACTTTTATCAATACTCACTCAACATAATAATACAGATAATGGAATAAGATCTGATTCATCCTTCTAGCATTGCTTACATTTAATGAACACATTCAATTAAACATTTGCTCATTTTGAGTATTAGTAATCTACAGATTTCATTTTCATTAACTATAATGTAATGATCATTGTATAATTAGCTTTAATCATATACTGCCATTTTTCACAGCAAACAAATTTATTTCATTCTAATCAATTTTAATTTCCAATTTCAAAAGAAAAAAAAAAAGGAAAAAAGGGAAAAAACAAAAAGCTAAAAGAATGCTTGCTATTCATTACAACAAATGCTCCACATTGACCATTGTAAATAATAATGAGATCGACAGTTGTTATCTTCTAGTTATCCTGTAAAGTGATCTAACGAAGGAACCATCAAATGCAATTGATGGTCAGGGTAGGTTTGGTAGCAATTCTCTTTAGTGGTATATTTTGGTTTTGATGTATTCTGGAACCTGTTCGGAAAGAAAATATCCTTACAAACAAAAATAATCGATTGGCAATTTTCAAGGTAAATGACATCTTCTTCACTTTAATTGTTAACTTCTTT